AGGACATGAACAAACATTAAAAATTATTACACTTAAAATGTCTGAATAAAGGAAAAAAAAATTGTTTTACATATACATATACATACATATATGTGTATTAGGGAAGTTTTTCTAACTTATTTCCGGAAGTAACAGTATGATGAAACGACAAATCCACAAAATTGAATCAAATCAAAATTTTTTTTCCAGTTGCAGTAGATCTAGCTTCACACGGCCAATAAAATTCGGTTTGAAAAGTACCACCCTAATGTATATATTCAATTGAATATTGCTAGCAATATAAGGGGAATGAGCAAGACATGTTCAAAAGTAATAATTAACATGATTATATACCTTAGAGCTGCATTTTTAAATAGTAGGAATAAGTACAGACGTTATGACTTTTAGAAACTTTTCAAAAATGTCAATTGCATTATTGACAACTTTAAACACTAGAACCCTTTGATGTGGTCAAAATTATTTGTCAAGTTTTTAAATAATAATATTTATGAGAATACAAAATTGGTTGATATTAAAAGAAAATATATTAGTATTTTAGTTAAGTATTTTTGTTCAGTTCTAGTTCAGTTCTATTTCAGTTCTAGTTCAGTTCTAGTTCAGTTCTAGTTCAGTTCTAGTTCAGTTCTAGTTCAGTTCTAGTTCAGTTCTAGTTCAGTTCTAGTTCAGTTCTAGTTCAGTTCTAGTTCAGTTCTAGTTCAGTTCTAGTTCAGTTCTAGTTCAGTTCTAGTTCAATTCTAGTTCAGTTCTAGTTCAGTTCTAGTTCAATTCTAGTTCAGTTCTAGTTCAGTTCTAGTTCAGTTCTAGTTCAGTTCTAGTTCAGTTCTAGTTCAGTTCTAGTTCAGTTCTAGTTCAGTTCTAGTTCTGTTCTAGTTCAGTTCTAGTTCAGTTCTAGTTCAGTTCTAGTTCAGTTCAAGTTCAGTTCAGTTCAGTTCTAGTTCAGTTCTAGTTCAATTCTAGTTCAGTTCTAGTTCAGTTCTAATTTAGTTCTAGTTCAGTTGTTGTTCAGTTTTTTTAACCTTGTAAATGGTGTAATAAACTTATTTCACTTTGTTTGCAATTATTGTCTGCTAAAATCCCCTCCGTAATGAGAAAAGTCAAAAGTTATTTACATATTGAGTTGTATTATTGAAAATAATAGTAATTGACAAGGTATCTGAGAAAATAGTAAAAAACTCAGACACACGGACACGTAGCTGTAATTAAACCATTTGTACACACAATATGGCAAATAGTGTTTCTTGTCTCGGACAGAAGTCATATATTAAAGTATGAAATGTTAAAAATCCTTCACAGTACAATTACTAGGAGATGAAGAGGGAGGACTATTTATGTTGCAGAAGTTTTCCTTTACACATGCATACATTCCCCCAATGTCGCACGGCAAATCAATAACCAACAAAAAGAACAAGAATGTTAAAAAAATAATTAATTTCATACTCATGCAGTTATAGTCCAAATGTATGTCTGTTTGTTTGTCAATATGTCTGACTTTGTGACAGACATACTGGTCTGTTTGGTAACGTGTATGTCTGTGCTGCAGACTGTATGTGTGAAAAGTTTGCGTGAGAGTATTTGATTTTACAGGAATATAAAGTTTTCCAGAGTATGTAAGTGAGTTTGTTTGCGTTTGCAACAGAGTGTATGTGTGCATTTTTGTTGTTTTATAGTTATGAGAATATAAAATGCGACAGTGTCTGATAAAACATTAATAGACATTCGGATAGACAGTTATCAGACAACAGATGGACTTTATTGTTAGACCACAGATGAAAATTATAATAGACAAAATACAAACAGAAAAATTGTGGAGAAAAAACTGAAACAAATAAACAAAAATTGAATAAATGTTGTAGAGAAAATGTATAATAAACAGGAATAAACTAACTTTAAGGCAAAAGTAAAATAATAAAGAAAAAACTTGTTATTAAATAATAAATTATGCGAGAGTAGTTGAGGAAGTTGCTCAAAAGCAATTTTTGTTTCAAAAATAGGTTTCTAATTAGATTAAAGAAACCTAACCTAAACTTACAATCTAATCTAGGTATCTTATAAAAAATATCTAGAGGTCAGTTTTTGTTAAAAAAAAATTCCATTAAAATCTTAATATTGAGTTAAAACGGAACTGAAAAACTTGAATTTTCGGTACTAAAAGCAAAATGTTCATAGCAAATCTGGTTTGGTACTATAAAGTGATTTTTCATAAAAAGATTGTTTTTTGATTTACCGTTTAGAATCAATTTGAATCTTAAAAAAAATTTACAGAATTTTAAAATTAAAGTAAATTCCCCATCACTTCCTCCTTTATACAAATCTGTCTCAGACTAAAACAATAAGAAATATATAGTTCTTTTACTTCTTCCTTACAAAACCAAAAACCCAACTGACACACAGACCATCAAGCACTTTACCAACAAACCGACAGACAGACGATCATTTTAGACATACAGTCTGACATTTTTCATATATAGAAAGTCATTTATAGCAAAAGTTATTGTATGACTGTGAATTGCCTGCAACAGCATGGACAGAAAAAAGCAACAAAAAATAAAAGCGACAACTATACTATGAATTACACATACATATGTATGTATGTTTGACTAAATATAGATAGAAAAAGTATCTATAGAATATCCATAGTACAATGGCAAATGTTTCTTGTATGCAGTATAGAAACCACAAAACAATTTGTAGAAATATTTTGAAAAGTTGTAGGTTGGAAAGTTGGGAATAAAAATAGAAAAATAAAATAAAACAATATTGAGATTGAGAATGCAAAAACAACAGAAACTAAAACTGTAGAATATGTAAAAAATACAATAGTAAAAACACAAGTTGCAACAACAATGTTTAATGAAGTAGACAAGTAGTTGTAGTTTATGCATTTAAATGTTACAATTTTTTGTTTGGAAAATTAATTAAACAAAAATGATAATATTAGCTTAAAAAAATGAAAAAGAGAAGGAGTAAGCCTGAAAGTAGACAATGGTTTTTGTTACATGTTTCATGACATAGAAACATGCATATGTATATGTTGTGGTAAGGACAGTATTGTATTATTGAAGGAATTAAACAATTAACAAAAACTGTTTAGCAAATTAAACAGAACAGTCGTACAGAAGAGTACTAGAACTGAACTAGAACTGAACTAGAACTGAACTAGAACTTAACTAGAACTAGAACTGAACTAGAACTGAACTAGAACTGAACTAGAACTGAACTAGAACTGAACTAGAACTGAACTAGAACTGAACTAGAACTGAACTAGAACTGAACTAGAACTGAACTAGAACTGAACTAGAACTGAACTAGAACTGAACTAGAACTGAACTAGAACTGAACTAGAACTGAACTAGAACTGAACTAGAACTGAACTAGAACTGAACTAGAACTGAACTAGAACTGAACTAGAACTGAACTAGAACTGAACTAGAACTGAACTAGAACTGAACTAGAACTGAACTAGAACTGAACTAGAACTGAACTAGAACTGAACTAGAACTGAACTAGAACTGAACTAGAACTGAACTAGAACTGAACTAGAACTGAACTAGAACTGAACTAGAACTGAACTAGAACTGAACTAGAACTGAACTAGAACTGAACTAGAACTGAACTAGAACTGAACTAGAACTGAACTAGAACTGAACTAGAACTGAACTAGAACTGAACTAGAACTGAACTAGAACTGAACTAGAACTGAACTAGAACTGAACTAGAACTGAACTAGAACTGAACTAGAACTGAACTAGAACTGAACTAGAACTGAACTAGAACTGAACTAGAACTGAACTAGAACTGAACTAGAACTGAACTAGAACTGAACTAGAACTGAACTAGAACTGAACTAGAACTGAACTAGAACTGAACTAGAACTGAACTAGAACTGAACTAGAACTGAACTAGAACTGAACTAGAACTGAACTAGAACTGAACTAGAACTGAACTAGAACTGAACTAGAACTGAACTAGAACTGAACTAGAACTGAACTAGAACTGAACTAGAACTGAACTAGAACTGAACTAGAACTGAACTAGAACTGAACGAACTGAACTAGAACTGAACTAGAACTGAACTAGAACTGAACTAGAACTGAACTAGAACTGAACTAGAACTGAACTAGAACTGAACTAGAACTGAACTAGAACTGAACTAGAACTGAACTAGAACTGAACTAGAACTGAACTAGAACTGAACTAGAACTGAACTAGAACTGAACTAGAACTGAACTAGAACTGAACTAGAACTGAACTAGAACTGAACTAGAACTGAACTAGAACTGAACTAGAACTGAACTAGAACTGAACTAGAACTGAACTAGAACTGAACTAGAACTGAACTAGAACTGAACTAGAACTGAACTAGAACTGAACTAGAACTGAACTAGAACTGAACTAGAACTGAACTAGAACTGAACTAGAACTGAACTAGAACTGAACTAGAACTGAACTAGAACTGAACTAGAAACTGAACTAAAACATGACCTAGAACTGAACTAGCACTGAACTAGAACTGAACTAGAACTGAACTAGAACTGAACTAGAACTGAACTAGAACTAGAACTAGAACTGAACTAGAACTGAACTAGAACTGAACATAGAACTGAACTAGAACTGAACTAGAACTGAACTAGAACTGAACTACTGAACTGAACTACGAACTGAACTAGAACTGAACTAGAACTGAAACTAGAACTGAACTAGAACTGAACTAGAACTGAACTAGAACTGAACTAGAACTGAACTAGAACTGAACTAGAACTGAACTAGAAATGAATTAAAACAGAATTTGAACTGAACTAAATATATTAGATTACAAGAGCAAAAACGATGTTAAAAAATTTTAATATGTTTTTTTTCGAATTTTCGAAAAACTCGAAACATCTGTAATATTTAATTTTTTTAAATATTTAAGCCAAGTAACCAAACAAATTTAGATATCTGCATAAACCCCCATTAACCATATATCTCTTAACGCTAGCAAAAAAGGTTCAAGAACTTACCTCAATCCCTTTGTTTCGCACAAATGATATTCTCCAAATACACCACAGCCTAATTTTTCCACAATAACAAGAGAATGTCTTGGAAATTCTTGCAACTGACAATTGGCCAGTTCATCTGCAGCATCTGCATTATTCATGAAATCATTCAATTCGGTCAAATTGTAATGATGTGGTTTTGTCAATGTTAAACTGGTATTAGTACCAGCACCTGCTGTTGCACCTCCACCACCAGTAGTTGCTGATGACAACGTTGTATTGCCACCACCAATGCCATAAGTTGATGATTCAAAATTTAGACTGATATTTGTAGGTAGAGTATGTGTATTTGGAGAATTTCCTTGTAGAAAACCACTTTTACCATTTGGCAATGTTCCGGTGGCAGTTGGTATTGTTGTTGCTGTATTTACTTGTACGGGTTGCTGTTGTGTCTGTGAGTTTGAGTGAGTGTTTACAATTTTTTGCTGCTGTTGCTGTTCTTGTACTGCATTATTGCTACTACTGCCATTGCTGTTAGCCAGTGTTGACGCCATATTGGCTTTACAAATTGCCATTGCAGCATAATATTTCTCTGAGGACATTGCTGCTGTTGTCGTTGGTGCTGGCGGTGGTGGTGGTAGTAGTGTTGCAGAAGTAGCACCTACTACGAAATGTGATGATGCTGGTGATGTTTGCGGTTGCTGTTGGTGATTCTGATGCTGATGTAGTGCATAATGTGATGATGAAGACGCCGATGAGCCTGATGACGACGATGAGAGTGTTGTGTTTACTGCTGCTGATGTTGTTGTTTGTTGCGATGTTAGGCATGTTGGTGCTGAGGCAGTTGGTGGTGGCGGTGGTGGTGGTATCTTCATATGAAACATATTGTTAAGAGTATTGTTGCGGTTTGTAGTTAATGTTGCATTGTAATTACTATTGCTACAATTTGAACTGGCACCACCGCCGATACCACTGCCTAAAATACTACCAGCACCACTATATAAAGAATTTGATTTTTGTGTTGGTATCAAATCTTGCATGTGCGGCACAGCATAATCTTGACAAACAATATCTGGAACATCTAAAACAGAATAAATGAAGTATTTAAATGAAAATGCAGAAAATCTGTGTGATTTTTAGGATTAGTTCATAGTGTAGAGTTAAAATTATTCTCATACTCTTAGAACAAAGTCGCACTTTTTGGAATATTTAAAAAACGACCATTTTATTTTCTCAGCACATTCCCGCTCTATCGGACAAGAACAGCCGGACTTAGAGGAGGTCAAGTTAGACATTTTGGTCATACAGGATTTTACTCAAATGAGTGTAACTTTTCACTTATTGGTCCTAGCAAAATTTAGTCTAGTCTATAGTCTAGTCTATAGTCTAGTCTATAGTCTAGTCTATAGTCTAGTCTATAGTCTAGTCTATAGTCTAGTCTATAGTCTAGTCTATAGTCTAGTCTATAGTCTAGTCTATAGTCTAGTCTATAGTCTAGTCTATAGTCTAGTCTATAGTCTAGTCTATAGTCTAGTCTATAGTCTAGTCTATAGTCTAGTCTATAGTCTAGTCAATAGTCTAGTCTATAGTCTAGTCTATAGTCTAGTCTATAGTCTAGTCTATAGTCTAGTCTATAGTCTAGTCTATAGTCTAGTCTATAGTCTAGTCTATAGTCTAGTCTATAGTCTAGTCTATAGTCTAGTCTATAGCCTAGTCTATAGTCTAGTCTATAGTCTAGTCTATAGTCTAGTCTATAGTCTAGTATATAGTGTAGTCTATAGTCTAGTCTATAGTCTAGTCTATAGTCTAGTCTATAGTCTATAGTCTAGTCTATAGTCTAGTCTATAGTCTAGTCAATAGTCTAGTCTATAGTCTAGTCTATAGTCTAGTCTATAGTCTAGTCTATAGTCTAGTCTATAGTCTAGTCTATAGTCTAGTCTATAGTCTAGTCTATAGTCTAGTCTATAGTCTAGTCTATAGTCTAGTCTATAGTCTAGTCTATAGTCTAGTCTATAGTCTAGTCTATAGTCTAGTCTATAGTCTAGTCTATAGTCTAGTCTATAGTCTAGTCTATAGTCTATCTATAGTCTAGTCTATAGTCTAGTCTATAGTGTCTAGTCTATAGTCTAGTCTATAGTCTAGTCTATAGTCTAGTCTATAGTCTAGTCTAGTAGTCTATAGTCTAGTCTATAGTCTAGTCTATAGTCTAGTCTATAGTCTAGTCTATAGGTCTAGTCTATAGTCTAGTCTATAGTCTGTCTAAGTCTAGTCTATAGTCTAGTCTATAGTCTAGTCTATAGTCTAGTCTATAGTCTAGTCTATAGTCTAGTCTATAGTCTAGTCTATAGTCTAGTCTATAGTCTAGTCTATAGTCTAGTCTATAGTCTAGTCTATAGTCTAGTCTATAGTCTAGTCTATAGTCTAGTCTATAGTCTAGTCTATAGTCTAGTCTATAGTCTAGTCTATAGTCTAGTCTATAGTCTAGTCTATAGTCTAGTCTATAGTCTAGTCTATAAGTCTAGTCTATAGTCTAGTCTATAGTTCTAGTCTATAGTCTAGTCTATAGTCAGTCTATAGTCTAGTCTATAGTCTAGTCTATAGTCTAGTCTATAGTCTAGTCTATATTCTAGTCTATATTCTAGTCTATAGTCTAGTATATAGTCTAGGCTATAGTCTAGGCTGTATTCTAGTCTATAGTCTAGTCTATATCTTAGTCTATTGTCTATTCTTCAGTCTAGTATATATTCTGGTCTATATTCTAGAAACAACAATTTTATTGTTTAATGTTTTATACCATGACGTATAAGTAACACTTAATAAAAAATTATTACGTATACGTATTATACTAAGTTGTTAAGAATTGATGTAATTTCGAACCAGACTGTATACAGTTCAAATTTCAAAGTAAATTTCAAAGTTCCAAATTACATCAATCCTTTACAATTTACTATAATACGTATACGTAATATTTTTTATGACGTGTTACTTATACGTCATAGTAACATACATTAAACCATAATATTATTGTTTGTAGTTATTTATTCTAATTTTCTTTAACTCCTGTTTTCACATCAATATGAGAAATATCAGTGAAATTGAAATATGGGTCAAAAATTTGCAATGAATAATTAATTGTTTAAATATTCACGCAATAAATATTGTAGTTTATTTTTGTTTATTGCTGTTTATATGGTGATAAGTTAAGCTGTAAAATTGATAACACAAATACTCACATACATATGTATGTCAATAGTAAAAGAGATCTATAAATTAAATTGCAGAAATATTTGAAAATAAAAATTTAAATTGTAAAAATCAATTTAATAGCTTATTTAATACAAAAACATTAAATATAAATAAACCATACATTTGATTTATAAACCGTTTATAAAATATGCATTTATATATGGATAAAGCCTTAAGTTTATATATTCCCAGAAAATGCGTATAATTAGACCCTAAATGGTGCTATGAACTAATTTTTTTTGTTTTTTTTTTTTTTTTTTTTGTTAAAACTACTCCTTTTTTAGGAAATTTTACATTACTTTTTCCATGTTAGATCTACATGGAAAACAGGATACATGCTGTGTACTCCAATTAAATTCCTAGAGGGCTTAATAGTTTTCTCTCAATTTTTCCAAAAAAAATCTAAAAAAATAAACTTGCTAAAAACATTAGAATTCATTACAAATTGTGCATGTCCAATTTAGATTGACTTTTTTTCTACACATTTGAACATTTGTTTTTTTTCTATTGTATATCATACCCTGCAACATGTTTGGATTAAGCATAAATTCTTGCAGTTTTACTACATACACAACAAACTGAAAAGCAAAAAAAAAAAAACTTTAACGAAAACTATGACTGGTTGTACATAGCTTTTTTGTGTTACTATTAAACTGTGACATGACATTGTTAAATTTTTTTCTGTTCGCAATATTTTTTCATTGTTTCATCGTGACATGTCGCGCAATTAAATTGCTACATTGACATACGAGTTGTATCATGTCATTATGGAATTATGTTACAAAACTCCTGGGGAATAAGAGAAATTTTGTGTTTTATTTTCATTTTGTTCTTCTTGTTAATTAATTTTCATAAAAGTTTTTCAATTTTTTGTTTTCTGCTGCGTGTAAATAATTGTTGTTGATATTGTTTTATACAAGTTAATAAATTTACCTGTGTAATCTGGTGATACATGTTGTCGTTGCAGATCGTTTATGGAACAAGCACTAGCTGCACTTGTGTACATGTTGACATTAAACGGTTCATGATATAAACTTGATTTGTCTATGGACTCACTATCGGGTTCCATGGTGACGGCCTGAAAGTTGGAAAAATACTATTTTTAAAATAAAGTAAAGCAAAGGAAACATGTATTCTAGTTCTGTTCTATATCTGTTTTGTTCTAGTTCTGTTCTAGTTCTGTTCTAGTTCTGTTCTAGTTCTGTTCTAGTTCTGTTCTAGTTCCGTTCTAGTTCTGTCTAATTCTGTTCTAGTTCTGTTCTAGTTCTGTTCTAGTTCTGTTCTAGTTCTGTTCTAGTTCTGTTCTAGTTCTGTAGTTCTGTTCTAGTTCTGTTCTAGTTCTGTTTCTAGTTCTGTTCTGTTCTAGTTCTGTTCTAGTTCTGTTCTAGTTCTGTTCTAGTTCTGTTAGTTCTGTTCTAGTTCTGTTCTAGTTCTGTTCTAGTTCTGTTCTAGTTCTGTTCTAGTTCTGTTCTAGTTCTGTTCTAGTTCTGTTCTAGTTCTGTTCTAGTTCTGTTCTAGTTCTGTTCTAGTTCTTTTCTAGTTCTGTTCTAGTTCTGTTCTAGTTATGTTCTAGTTCTGTTCTAGTTCTGTTCTAGTTCTGTTCTAGTTCTTTTCTAGTTCTGTTCTAGTTCTGTTCTAGTTCTGTTTTAGAATAATTTAGTTATTGTTCATTTTAACACCCTAGATTTACTAATAAGTCATCATTGAATTCAAAATTTGTAAAATCTTGTTCTTTTTGCAACATTCCACTTTTAATAATTAAGCCGTTTTATTATTCATTAAACTGTCTTTCTTTCCTCATTTTTCACTATTTTTTAATTTGTTATCTTAAATAATTATTATTATTTTTTTTGCAACACACTTACCTTCATACCATTGCAATTTAAACGTTTATTGTCAACGCCACCCAATGTGTCAGGATTAAAATTATGTTGGAAGGCATCCAAAACATTACCGCCATGTCCACGTTTATTACGGGCAATTATCGCCAGTATTATGGCAACCAAAAGTAAAATAATTGTTGTAAGGACAGTGATTAAAATGCCAACGAAACTTGAATCCGGTTCCTGGTCGATGGGTTTTGGTGCAATTACTGCAAGAAATAAAAAAATAATAATAAAAACGTTGGCAAAACAAATGAAACGCTATGCAAGATACAACAGCAGGAAAACTGATGTTGCAGAAGAAGAAAAAAGAAACACAAAATATGTATTGTATTTAAAAAACAAAATAGAGATAATAATAAACACAAGTATTAAGGATATATTTAAAAATGAAATAATGTAAAAGAGTGAGGGGGAAGGATGGATGTGGTTACGATATGGATAAAGCAAAAAAAAATAAAGTACAATTGAGCATTTTTATTCATAATAAAGTTTTTCAAAAGATTTATGTTTTTTATTAGAAATCTAACTGAGTCGTACTTCCCACTCAAATTTACTACATTAATGAAACCTAACGGGTGGGCCTAAACCAAAATTATAATTGAACACATTTTGGCAGTTTTTTGGGTTCTATTTTTTATACTATACGTCAAAACCGGAAAACAACAGAACTAGTACTAAACTAAAACTGCAACTGACCTAGAACTAACATATTACTAGAAGTGAACTAGAACTTAACTAAAATTGAACTAGAACTGAACTAAAACTGAACTAGAACTTAACTAGAACTTAACTAGAACTGAACTAGAACTGAACTAGAACTGAACTAGAACTGAACTAGAACTGAACTAGAACTGAACTAGAACTGAACTAGAACTGAACTAGAACTGAACTAGAACTGAACTAGAACTGAACTAGAACTGAACTAGAACTGAACTAGAACTGAACTAGAACTGAACTAGAACTGAACTAGAACTGAACTAGAACTGAACTAGAACTGAACTAGAACTGAACTAGAACTGAACTAGAACTGAACTAGAACTGAACTAGAACTGAACTAGAACTGAACTAGAACTGAACTAGAACTGAACTAGAACTAGAACTGAACTAGAACTGAACTAGAACTGAACTAGAACTGAACTAGAACTGAACTAGAACTGAACTAGAACTGAACTAGAACTGAACTAGAACTGAACTAGAACTGAACTAGAACTGAACTAGAACTGAACTAGAGAACTAGAACTGAACTAGAACTGAACTAGAACTGAACTAGAACTGAACTGAACTAGAACTGAACTGAACTAGAACTGAACTGAACTAGAACTGAACTGAACTAGAACTGAACTGAACTAGAACTGAACTAGAACTGAACTAGAACTGAACTAGAACTGAACTAGAACTGAACTAGAACTGAACTAGAACTGAACTAGAACTGAACTAGAACTGAACTAGAACTGAACTAGAACTGAACTAGAACTGAACTAGAACTGAACTAGAACTGAACTAGAACTGAACTAGAACTGAACTAGAACTGAACTAGACTGAACTAGAACTGAACTAGAACTGAACTAGAACTGAACTAGAACTGAACTAGAACTGAACTAGAACTGAACTAGAACTGAACTAGAACTGAACTAGAACTGAACTAGAACTGAACTAGAACTGAACTAGAACTGAACTAGAACTGAACTAGAACTGAACTAGAACTGAACTAGAACTGAACTAGAACTGAACTAGAAGTGAACTTGAACTGAACTAGAACTGAACTAGAACTGAACTAGAACTGAACTAGAACTGAACTAGAACTGAACTAGAACTGAACTAGAACTGAACTAGAACTGAACTAAAACTGAACTAAAACTGAACTAAAACTGAACTAGAACTGAACTAGAACTGAACTAGAACTGAACTAGAACTGAACTAGAACTGAACTAGAACTGAACTAGAACTGAACTAGAAACTGAACTAGAACTGAATAGAACTGACTAGAACTGAACTAGAACTGAACTAGAACTGAACTAGAACTGAACTAGAACTGAACTAGAACTGAACTAGGAACTGAACTAGAACTGAATTACAACTGGTATTCTTGCTAATTTCTCTAGTTATACATACATGTGTATTTAGATGGTGCCGGATGGTCGATTATATTTCTCAAATGCTTTACATATCCTATTTCTGACCATTCATTCATTTTTTATACATTTAATATTCTTTTTAGCTGTAGTTCTAGTTTCCAGTTGTCGTTGAGGTATGAGTTAGTGTCTGTGTATAACATGATATTGTTTCAGGATATATATTGCCTTTATCATGCTGGTTTCTAGTGTTTTCTGTTTTAAATGTTAGAGAATGCAACATTTTATTTTAAACATGTTTTGTAATGTTTATCAAGGAAAGTGACTACTACTACGTTTATATGCATATGGATGTTACAACGTTTTCCACATTTCGATATAAAATTTTTTGTGTACTTTTGTTGCTGACTGTAGTTGAGTTTGTGTACATCTTTTTTTCTGTTTCATTCTTGGTTGTGCCCTTATTTTTTTGTATTAAATAAAAACAAGTCTGCGAATATAAGTTTGGCTTATGTGGTGTGAAAATGTGGAAAAAATATTTTGTAATATTTTCCGGTTTGCTGCGGTTAGGTGTCCTGGTTTATTTTTCATAGAAAATTTATTAAAAAATGTTTTTTGTTTTTGTTTTTTTTTTTTGCTTTTATGAAAATTACTATAAATCAAAAGAAGACCAAATAAGAAGTGAGCACAACTGCTGCAAAAAAAAAGATACAGGATAATTAAGGAATAGAAATGGGAAGTAGAGTTTAATTTAGAATTTAAAGAAATGTTTACAATTTAAAAAAAAATATTATTATAATTAATACAAATTTTGTTTTCACCTGATGGCATATAGTTGTTACGATCTCTGCTAAAGGGCACTCTGGCTACTTCATCTCTTTGAAGGGATATTCAGAATTATCTTGTGAACCACTGGGACCCATAAACTCTTCATCAGTAAAGTTTCCTATTACAGGAGCTGCAAATACATCAAGTAAATATTGTTATTTATAGAAAAAAATTACTTTAATAAATTAAATTCTCTTTAAATTTAAATACTTTAATCTTTAACTTTTCTGTCGTCTTAAGCACAAAATCATTTTCTGTTTTTTTTTTTTCTTTTTGTAATTTTAATATTCAATGTCAACATTTGTTTTTATTGTTATGCAGATTTTACTTCATTTTGTTTTTGTTATTTACTACCAGCTCCATCAGAATCCTTTCAAATATATTTACCCACATCTTCTACCGTCTACCATGTATTTTGTTGAGTCTAAGACTAACGATTATTTACATATAGTTTGCATATATTTACACTACTGTCTTGCAGGTTTCTTAAATACAAGGAAAAAATGCTTCTCAGAGTGGCGGCAAAAGGATGCCATGTTAAGAAGTGGGTGTTGGTATATATGTTATAAATTGAAAGTATTCCTTAGAAATAATATATGTTTGATGTTGCTGGCCTTTCCAGGAAATACTGTTACTTACATATACATATAAACCTACATACACATGTTTGTTTAGGTATTGTAATTTTTGTTATTTTCTCATTTGTTGCTCTTTACTTTTTTACATATTTGTTTTTAAAATATTTATTTTTTCTTAGAGAATTGCGTTTATTTTCCAAAGGATTGTTGTTTTATCAAATAAGTCAACAATTTTGCGATTTACTTTTCATTACTTCTGGTATTTTTCTGTTGTCAGAGATGTCCTTATGGAATTTTTTTCTCAAATGAAGTTTAAATAAAAGTCTAAGTGCATGAGTACCCTGCATATTTAGCATTTGTAAAATAGCAACATGATTTAAATTTTAAATAGGGTTCATTTTACTTAAGAAATAACAGAAAATTGTATTTGAAGTAAATTTTAGTTCTAGTTCAGTTCTAGTTCAGTTCTGTCGTTCAAGTTCAGTTTCCAGTTCAGTTCTGTGCAGTTCTAGTCTCAGTTCTAGTTCAGTTCCAGTTCAGTTCCAGTTCAGTTCTAGTTCAGTTCTAGTTCAGTTCTAGTTCAGTTCTAGTTCAGTTCTAGTTCAGTTCAGTTCAGTTCTAGTTCAGTTCTAGTTCAGTTCTAGTTCAGTTCCAGTTCAGTTCCAGTTCAGTTCTAGTTCAGTTCTAGTTCAGTTCTAGTTCAGTTCTAGTTCAGTTCTAGTTCAGTTCTAGTCAGTTCTAGTTCAGTTCTAGTTCAGTTCTAGTTCAGTTCTAGTTCAGTTCTAGTTCAGTTCTAGTTCAGTTCTAGTTCAGTTCTAGTCAGTTCTAGTTCAGTTCTAGTTCAGTTTAGTTCAGTTCTAGTTCAGTTTAGTTCAGTTCTAGTTCAGTTCTAGTTCAGTTCTAGTTCAGTTCTAGTTCAGTTCTAGTTCAGTTCTAGTTCAGTTCTAGTTCAGTTCTAGTTCAGTTCTAGTTCAGTTCTAGTTCAGTTCTAGTTCAGTTCTAGTTCAGTTCTAGTTCAGTTCTAGTTCAGTTCTAGTTCAGTTCTAGTTCAGTTCTAGTTCAGTTCTAGTTCAGTTCTAGTTCAGTTCTAGTTCAGTTCTAGTTCAGTTCTAGTTCAGTTCTAGTTCATTCTAGTTCATTTCTAGTTCAGTTCTAGTTCAGTTCTAGTTCAGTTCTAGTTCAGTTCTAGTTCAGTTCTAGTTCAGTTCTAGTTCAGTTCTAGTTCAGTTTTAGTTCAGTTTTAGTTCAGTTCTAGTTCAGGTTTAGTTCAGTTTTAGTTCAGTTCTAGTTCAGTTCTAGTTCAGATCTAGTTCAGATCTAGTTCAGTTCTAGTTCAGTTCTAGTTCAGTTCTAGTCAGTTCTAGTTCAGTTCTAGTTCAGTTCTAGTTCAGTTCTAGTTCAGTTCTAGTTCAGTTCTAGTTCAGTTCTAGTTCAGTTCTAGTTTAGTTCTAGTTCAGTTCTAGTTCAGTTCTAGTTCAGTTCTAGTTCAGTTCTAGTTCAGTTCTAGTTCAGTTCTAGTTCAGTTCTAGTTCAGTTCTAGTTCAGTTCTAGTTCAGTTCTAGTTCAGTTCTAGTTCAGTTCTAGTTCAGTTATAGTTCAGTTCTAGTTCAGTTCTAGTTCAGTTCTAGTTCAGTTCTAGTTCAGTTCTAGTTCAGTTCTAGTTCAGTTCTAGTTCAGTTCTAGTTCAGTTCTAGTTCAGTTCTAGTTCAGTTCTAGTTCAGTTCTAGTTCAGTTCTAGTTCAGTTCTAGTTCAGTTCTAGTTCAGTTCTAGTTCAGTTCTAGTTCATTTCTAGTTCATTCTAGTTCAGTTCTAGTTCAGTTCTAGTTCAGTTCTAGTTCAGTTCTAGTTCAGTTTAGTTCAGTTCTAGTTCAGTTCTAGTTCAGTTCTAGTTCAGTTCTAGTTCAGTTCTAGTTCAGTTCTAGTTCAGTTCTAGTTCAGTTCTAGTTCAGTTCTAGTTCAGTTTAGTTCAGTTCTAGTTCAGTTCTAGTTCAGTTCTAGTTCAGTTCTAGTTAGTTCTAGTTCAGTTCTAGTTCAGTTCTAGTTCAGTTCTAGTTCAGTTCTAGTTCAGTTCTAGTTCAATTCTAGTTCAGTTCTAGTTCAGTTCTAGTTCAGTTCTAGTTCAGTTCTAGTTCAGTTCTAGTTCAGTTCTAGTTCATTTCTAGTTCTTCTAGTTCAGTTCTAGTTCAGTTCTAGTTCAGTTCTAGTTCAGTTCTAGTTCAGTTCTAGTTCAGTTCTAGTTCAGTTCTAGTTCAGTTCTAGTTCAGTTCTAGTTCAGTTCTAGTTCAGTTCTAGTTCAGTTCTAGTTCAGTTCTAGTTCAGTTTAGTTCAGTTTAGTTCAGTTCTAGTTCAGGTTTAGTTCAGTTTAGTTCAGTTCTAGTTCAGTTCTAGTTCAGATCTAGTTCAGTTCTAGTTCAGTTCAAGTTCAGTTCTAGTTCAGTTCTAGTTCAGTTTAGTTCAGTTCTAGTTCAGTTCTAGTTCAGTTCTAGTTCAGTTCTAGTTCAGTTCTAGTTCAGTTCTAGTTCAGTTCTAGTTCAGTTCTAGTTCAGTTCTAGTTCAGTTCTAGTTCAGTTCTAGTTCAGTTCTAGTTCAGTTCTAGTTCAGTTCTAGTTCAGTTCTAGTTCAGTTCTAGTTCAGTTCTAGTTCAGTTTTAGTTCAGTTTAAGTTCAGTTCTAGTTCAGGTTTAGTTCAGTTCTAGTTCAGTTCTAGTTCAGATCTAGTTCAGTTCCAGTTCAGTTCCAGTTCAGTTCTAGTTCAGTTCTAGTTCAGTTCTAGTTCAGTTCTAGTTCAGTTCTAGTTCAGTTCTAGTTCAGTTCCAGTTCAGTTCCAGTTCAGTTCTAGTTCAGTTCTAGTTCAGTTCTAGTTCAGTTCTAGTTCAGTTCTAGTCAGTTCTAGTTCAGTTCTAGTTCAGTTCTAGTTCAGTTCTAGTTCAGTTCTAGTTCAGTTCTAGTTCAGTTCTAGTTCAGTTCTAGTTCAGTTCTAGTTCAGTTCTAGTTCAGTTCTAGTTCAGTTTAGTTCAGTTCTAGTTCAGTTCTAGTTCAGTTCTAGTTCAGTTCTAGTTCAGTTCTAGTTCAGTTCTAGTTCAGTTCTAGTTCAGTTCTAGTTCAGTTCTAGTTCAGTTCTAGTTCAGTTCTAGTTCAGTTCTAGTTCAGTTCTAGTTCAGTTCTAGTTCAGTTCTAGTTCAGTTCTAGTTCAGTTCTAGTTCAGTTCTAGTTCAGTTCTAGTTCAGTTCTAGTTCAGTTCTAGTTCAGTTCTAGTTCAGTTCTAGTTCAGTTCTAGTTCAGTTCTAGTTCAGTTCTAGTTCAGTTCTAGTTCAGTTCTAGTTCAGTTCTAGTTCAGTTCTAGTTCAGTTCTAGTTCAGTTCTAGTTCAGTTCTAGTTCAGTAGTTCAGTTCAGTTCTAGTTCAGTTCTAGTCAGTTAGTTCAGTTCTAGTTCAGTTCTAGTTCAGTTCTAGTTCAGTTCTAGTTCAGTTCTAGTTCAGTTCTAGTTCAGTTCTAGTTCAGTTCTAGTTCAGTTCTAGTTCAGTTCTAGTTCATTCTAGTTCAGTTCTAGTTCAGTTCTAGTTCAGTTCTAGTTCAGTTCTAGTTCAGTTCTAGTTCAGTTCTAGTTCAGTTCTAGTTCAGTTCTAGTTCAGTTCTAGTTCAGTTCTAGTTCAGTTCTAGTTCAGTTCTAGTTCAGTTCTAGTTCAGTTTAGTTCAGTTCTAGTTCAGTTCTAGTTCAGTTCTAGTTCAGTTCTAGTTCAGTTCTAGTTCAGTTCTAGTTCAGTTCTAGTTCAGTTCTAGTTCAGTTCTAGTTCAGTTCTAGTTCAGTTCTAGTTCAGTTCTAGTTCAGTCTAGTTCAGTTCTAGTTCAGTTCTAGTTCAGTTCTAGTTCAGTTCTAGTTCAGTTCTAGTTCAGTTCTAGTTCAGTTCTAGTTCAGTTCTAGTTCAGTTCTAGTTCAGTTCTAGTTCAGTTAGTTCAGTTCTAGTTCAGTTCTAGTTCAGTTCTAGTTCAGTTCTAGTTCAGTTCTAGTTCAGTTCTAGTTCAGTTCTAGTTCAGTTCTAGTTCAGTTCTAGTTCAGTTCTAGTTCAGTTCTAGTTCGTTCTAGTTCAGTTCTAGTTCAGTTCTAGTTCAGTTCTAGTCAGTTCTAGTTCAGTCTAGTTCAGTTCTAGTTCAGTTCTAGTTCAGTTTAGTTCAGTTCTAGTTCAGTTCTAGTTCAGTTCTAGTTCAGTTCTAGTTCAGTTCTAGTTCAGTTCTAGTCAGTTCTAGTTCAGTTCTAGTTCAGTTCTAGTTCAGTTCTAGTTCAGTTCTAGTTCAGTTCTAGTTCAGTTCTAGTTCAGTTCTAGTTCAGTTCTAGTTCAGTTCTAGTTCGTTCTAGTTCAGTTCTAGTTCAGTTCTAGTTTCAGTTCTAGTTCAGTTCTAGTTCAGTTCTAGTTCAGTTCTAGTTCAGTTCTAGTTCAGTTCTAGTTCAGTTCTAGTTCAGTTCCTAGTTCAGGATTCTAGTCAGTTCTAGTTCAGTTCTAGTTCAGTTTAGTTCAGTTCTAGTTCAGTTCTAGTTCAGTTCTAGTTCAGTTCTAGTTCAGTTTCTAGTTCAGTTCTAGTTCAGTTCTAGTTCAGTTCTAGTTCAGTTCTAGTTCAGTTCTAGTTCAGTTCTAGTTCAGTTCTAGTTCAGTTCTAGTTCAGTTCTAGTTCAGTTTCTAGTTCAGTTCTAGTTCAGTTCTAGTTCAGTTTCTAGTTCAGTTCTAGTTCAGTTTCTAGTTCAGTTCTAGTTCAGTTCTAGTTCAGTTCTAGTTCAGTTCTAGTTCAGTTCTAGTTCAGTTCTAGTTCAGTTCTAGTTCAGTTCTAGTTCAGTTCTAGTTCAGTTCTAGTTCAGTTTCTAGTTCAGTTCTAGTTCAGTTCTAGTTCAGTTCTAGTTCAGTTCTAGTTCAGTTCTAGTTCAGTTCTAGTTCAGTTCTAAGTTCAGTTCTAGTTCAGTTCTAGTTCAGTTCTAGTTCTAGTTCTAGTTCTAGTTCTAGTTCAGTTCTAGTTCTAGTTAAGTTCTAGTTCTAGTTAAGTTCTAGTTCTAGTTAAGTTCTAGTTCTAGTACAAGTTCTAGTTCTAGTTTCAGTTCTAGTTCAGTTCTAGTTCAGTTCTAGTTCAGTTCTAGTTCAGTTCTAGTTCAGTTCTAGTTCATTTCTAGTTCAGTTCTAGTTCAGTTCTAGTTCAGTTCTAGTTCAGTTCTAGTTCAGTTCTAGTTCAGTTCTAGTTCAGTTCTAGTCAGTTCTAGTTCAGTTCTAGTTCAGTTCTAGTTCAGTTCTAGTTCAGTTCTTCTAGTTCAGTTCTAGTTCAGTTCTAGTTCAGTTCTAGTTCAGTTCTAGTTCAGTCTAGTTCAGTTTGTTCGTTCTAGTTCAGTTCTAGTTCAGTTCTAGTTCAGTTCTAGTTCAGTTCTAGTTCAGTTTCTAGTTCAGTTCTAGTTCAGTTCTAGTTCAGTTCTGTTAGTTCTAGTTCAGTCTAGTTAGTTCAATTTTTCAATTAAAATTTAATTTTTTAATAAAAATTTTATTCTTCACCAAAAATTTAATGTTTCACTAAATATTCAATTTTTCAATAAAATTTAATTTTTTACTAAAAATTATATTTTTCTATAGAAATTAAAATTTTCACTTAAAATTCAGTTTTTTACAAAAAATTTAATTTTTTTTTACAAAAAATTTAATTTTTTACTAGAATTTAAATTTTTTTAATCAAATTAAAATTTTTCACTAAAAATTAAATTTTTCACTTAAAATTTAATTTTTCACTTAAAATTAAAATTTTCACTAAAAATTTAATTTTTTACTAAAAATGAAATTTTCCGCTAAAACTTTAATTTTAAAAGAACGTTTTCGCTAAAAAAAGAACGTTTTCGCTAAAAAAAGAACGTTTTCGCTAAAAATAAATATTAAATTTTCATTAAAATCTAAATTGTTCTCTAGCGATTTTTAATCGATAGTCTTCGTAGTTTGGTGAAACTTATGTCATTTGACTACATTAATAACTGTCATTCTAAATATTCTTTATGATTACAATTTTTTTTTAATTCCCCAGTCAGTCATTTAATTTACTTTCTACTAAAATAAAACTGTTACTGCTACATGTACTTTTTTATGACATTTTCAATATTCAAATTATATTTTCTTTTTCCTCTCCAAAAAAAGCAACTTTTAATTAATTCTGCTCTATAAAATTTGTAAGGGGAATATCTACTATCCCACCTGCTACTTACTGCAAAATCAATTGCTCTTAATATTTTTAATATCTAAAATCAATTTTAAGCTTTTATGCTTGTGCTTTTGTAAAACATTATGTCGATAACAAAGGGAACTTTCTTTAAATGCTTTAATATTGTTTTATATTCAGTTACTTTTGATTTTTTCTTTTTTTTTTGTGATCATTATTTTTGCAAATAATCTAAATTGCTGTGTTGTTGCTATTGCTACTATTGTTATTGTTGAATAATATTGCTGCTGTTTGCAGCAATTGTGCTTATTGCATGACAGGGAGTGGAAAAAATCATGAAAAAGATTTTTGTCCCTTTTTTTATTGGAAAATAAGGATAAATGAATGCAAGTAAGTGTGCTGAATTTTATGGGGTGGAGGTAGTATTAGATATTTTAGGTTCAGTTAGACAGTAACAAATGCATCATACTTTGGAGTCAACTTTGATTGTGTTGAAGAAATACTGAATAAAAATAAGTTAAAGTTTTATCAGATTATGCGCTGATCTGATTTACTTTTCAAATTTCAGCATCATATCTTTTAACAAACCAGACAGATCTTCCGATTTTCCGAGCAAATCGTGTACATATATAGTGTATATATAGCATTTTGAAAAATTTCCATTTCAATATTACTTTGTAATAATACAGTTTTACTCTCTAACATCCTAATAATATGAATAAATGATAAACGTGTTTGTGTAGCAAGTATATTTGAAATCTATAAAATCTCTGCTCTAGATTACAACAAAAAAAACTAGTAATACATACTAGCTGTTATACTTAAAATGCTAAAAATGAGTTTAGTAATTGTTAATATGCATGCAGTACAGAAGCTGAAAATAAAAAAAAAAAAAAATTTCGAACTCGTAACTGATTTCAATGGAAAAATAATATTAAATGAAAAAAAAAAAAAAAAAAACAAAACGATGAAGGGAATATTGCAGTTTAATATGAGCAAATATATAAACACTGAGAGAAATTTGCTTATGAAAAATTATAGATTTGAAAATAAAGTTAGAAGTCATATATAACACTTAAAAGTTCATAGTAGCTAGGGACTACCGTTTGTGGACAGTCGGCTATAGAGCATATAGGGTTTATATAGCGTCCATAATCTCTTGACTATAGCAGACACATTATCTCAAATATATAGTCTTGCAACTATAGAGGCACCCGACTATAGTAGATATAGTTTCGCGACTACAGTGCCTTTAGCCTCCCGACTATTGTGGCTACAGTTTTCCCACTATAGTATCTATAGTCTCCTGACTATAGTGTCTACAGCTTCTCGCCTACAGTAACAATAGTCTCGAATATAGAAGGCTATAGTCTCCAGATTATGTATCGATAACCTCTCGACCATAGAGGCTACAATCCCTCAACTATATACGGTGCCTCTATAGGCAATAGTCTCTCAACTATAAAAGCAATTGTCTCTCGACTATAGTGTATCTATATAGTATATCGACGATAGTCTCTAGACTACAGTATATATTTTTCCCGACTTCAGTCTCTATAGTCTCTTGACTGTCAATGCCATAAGCGCTCGACTGTAGAGGCTATATTCTGATGACTATAAAGGTTATAGTAGAGACTATATTCTCTCGACTTTAGATGCTATAATATGTCGACTATGAAGGCTATTTTCTCTTGACTAAGGATGCAATAGCTATAGTTTACAGAATAAAGATGCTATAGTCTCTAGACTACAGAGCCTATAGCCTCTAGATTATACAGCCTCTACTCTTTAGACTTTAGAGCCTATAGTCTGTCGACTGTAAACACTTATTTTTTCGACAGTAGAAGCTAAATTCTCTCGACTATAAAGGCTATTGTCTTCTAAGGAAGCTATATAGTCTCTATACTATAGAGTCTACGTTCCCTATGCTATAGACTATATAGTCTGTCGACTGTAAATGCTATATTCTCTTGACTGTAGAGGCTATTGTCTCTCAACTAAGGAAGCTATAGTCTCTCGACTATTGTGCTTCTAGAGGCTATAGTCGATCATCGCTACTTCACGACTATAGTATAAATAGTCTCACAAAGATAGAGTCTATAGTCATTCAACTATAGAGGGTATATTCTCTCTACTGCAGAGGCTATAGTCTCTCGACTACAGAATCTACTGTATACTGCTTCTGGAATAGATATCTTTATATGATAAGTAGTCTCTAATCTACAGTATCTAAGATAAATTTCAGATAAAAGTTTTTCTAATTTCTTGCTGTGTTTCATCGATATCATCTTTATTTACATTTGTGAAAAAATGGTAGTAGGAAAATAGCATCATGGAACTGCATTTTCATACAATTCATTTCATTCCATTAAAAGGAAATCAATATTAATTTCAATTTAATTTCATTCATTTATTCGTACTTGTTTTTTTTTTTTTGTTTAAACCATTTTTTTCCATACTATACTTTTGCATTTAACTTTTTTTTTTTTCCTTAGCAAGTATTTTCTGCCATTTTTGCATGCATAATCTTTACTAATTGAATTTTGAAGAATTAATTTTTATATTTTTCCCCCATCAATCTTTAGTAAGTTAAGTGCATTGGCCAAATGATGAAAAATATTTGTTTAAAATGTGGTAGATTAACTAAATGAAAAGTTTTGCCTACAAAAAAATGCAAAAAAAACACTAGAGGATAGTTAGGCAAATGGAAAATGTATTCAAGGATTTAATGATTGAGAATGTATTATGATAATGTTTGAGATTTGTAGGCAGCTGCTTGACCTTGTAATATGGACAAAGGCAATAAAAGATGGGTAATGAAAAGAAAATTGTAAAAAGATTTATTGAATGAATTAAAGATAATTAGAGTAGAATTGAGATTATTAGGAAGTGAGCTAAGTGCTTAAGCATTTCGAAGTAATAATCAAAACTTAGAACATTTAAATATCATTTAAGCTAAAATTTTTCTAAAAAATTTTATATTTGTTCAATTTTATTTCCCTCGGTGACTTGACAACCATTTTTTTTGTGTGTTCAACAATTTGTTGCAAATAGTTTTATTACATTATTAAGAATAACATCGAAAAAAAAAACTCTCAAGAAATCTGAAAAATATTTTTCTTTTTTTTCCACCACTTACCTGATATAAATGTAATCTCACTTAACATCAGCCAACGTGCCGCAAAATATAAATGCAATTGTAGATATTTACCCAAACGATGATGTAATTTGATTGTCACGTCGCGAGCGTGATCCAATATCGTATCTGGCATATAAGAAAATTGTACTGGTTCACCAATATACTGTCGTCCACCAATGCTAAAAAAGACTTTGGCATGAACGAAAACCTGTAAAAAAAGAAGAGAAAAAAAATGTAAGTGGATATTAATGAAAGTAAAGTAATGCAATAAAAAAAGGAGAGAGAGAGAGAGAGAGAGTGTGATGAAAAATTGGAGCGAAATTTTGTTGATAATGTAGCCTTTAGACTAATTTCCTGTTATGTTTCCGGATAATAGTGTCTAAAGGCTACAGTCCCTATAGTCGACAGACTATAGTCTCTATAGACGATAGACTGTAGTATCTATAGTCGACAGTAATATATATTGCCAACAGACTATCGTCTCTATAGTCGACAGACTTTAGTCTCTATACTAGGCAGACTATAGTATCTATAGTCGGCAAACTACAGTCTTTATAGTCGGCAGGCTATAGCCTCTATATTCGATATACTATAGTCTCTATAGTCGACAAACTATAGTCCCTATAATCGACAGACTATAGCCTCTATAGTCGTCAGATTATAGTCTTTATAGTTGATAGACTATATTCTCTACCGTCGACAGACTATAGTCCCTATAGTTGACAGACTATAATCTCTGTAGTCGACAGACTATAGTCTCTATGTACGACAGACTTTACTATCTTAGTCAACAGACTATAGACTCTACAGTCGGCAGACTATAGTTTCTATATTCGAAAAAATACAGTCTCTATACTCATCAGACTATAGTCGATAGACTCTATAATCGACAGATTGCCTATAGTCTCTATAGTTTATAGACTGTAGTCTCTATAGTTGGCAGACTATAGTCTCTATAGTTAACAGACTATAGTCTCTATAGTTGGCAGACTACAGACTCTATAGTTGGCAGACTACAGACTCTATAGTTGATAGACTATAGACTCAAAAGTTGATAAACTACAGACTCTATAGTTGACAGACTATAGTATCTATAGTTGGCGGACTATAGTCTCTAAAGTCGGCAGACTATAGTCTGTATAGTCACAGACTCTATAGATGATAGACTATTGCCTCTATATTCGACAGACTATAGTCTCTACATTCGATAGAATATAGTCTCTATAATCGGCTGACTATAGTTTCTATAGTTGACAGACTATAGTTTCAATAGTAGACAGGCGATAGTCTCAATAGTCAACAGGCCATAGTTTCTATAGTCGACAGAATATAGTCTACAATCGACAGACTATTGTCTCTATAATCCATAGAATATAGTCTGTAATCGACCGACAATAGCCTCTATAATCGATAAAAAGTAGTCTGTAGTCGAGAAACTACAGTCGACAGACTCTATAATCGATAGACTATAGTCTCTATAGTCGATAGACTATAGTCTCTATAGTTGACAGACTATATTCTCTATAGATGGCAGATTATAGTCTCCATAATCGTCAGACTGTAGTTTGCATAGTCTACAGACTACAGACGCTAAGGTTGATAGACTATAGTCTTTATAGTTGGCGGACTATAGGCTCTAAAGTCGACAGACTATAGTCTCCATAGACGTCAAACTATAGTCTGTATAGTCGACAGACTACAGACTCTGTAGATGATAGACTATAGCCTCTATATTCGACGGACTATTGTCTTTGTATTCGGTAGTCTATAGTCTCTATAGTCGACTGACTATAGTTTCAGTAGTTGACAGACTATAATTTTAATAGTCGACAGACTATAGTCTCAATAGTCAACAGGGTATAGTCTCTATAGTGGGGAGATTATAGTCTCTATAGTCGACAGAATATAGTCTACAATCGACAGACTATTGTCTCTATAATCAACAGACTATAGTCTCTATAATCGATAAGATATAGTTTGTAATCGAAAGACTACAGTCTACAGATTATAGTCTCTATAATTGACAGACTATAGTCTCTATAGTCAACAGACTATATTCTCTATAGTTGGTAGATTGTAGTTTCTATATTCGATAGAATACAATATTTATAGTCATCAGACTATAGTCTCTATAGTTGGCAGACTATAGACTCCATAGTCGTCAGACTGTGGTCTCCATAGTCGACAGACTACAGACTCTATGGTTGATAGAATATATCCTCTACATTTGATAGACTATAGTCTCTATAGTCGGCTGACTATAGTTTCTTATATAATTTCTAGATTCTATCGACTCTAGATCTCTAAAGTCTGCAGTCGCTATACTGCAGGTATAGTACTACTATAGTCTCTGGAGTCAATAGACTATAATTTCTGTAGTCAGCATTGTACAGTGGAAATCACTTTAGTTAACATACTATGGTCCCTAATTAAATATCCTACGGATGATACTAACTTTTGTATATTTTTGTAATTAATCTTAAAGTCTTATAACCATGAATCATGTCAATATACCATTTGTTTAGCAAAACGCACTAATAAATTTTTATTGTCCATCTTCATATTTTTAAATACTATTTTTTTTATAAAAATAATATTTTAAACAGGTGCCAATAAGTCATGTTTGTATTGTCTTATTACCAGTGCAATAACTATCTGCTTGTATAAGTAAAAGCCCCCACACAATATCTGTGTCATTATTTGTTGTTGTCTTCTGGCTGGTAATGAAAACAACCTGAGTGGCATTAACAATTAAATTAAATCACATTTATATAGTGGCCATTTGGTCTGGTGGTTGGTTGGTCTTGTACATTGAGTCAGTCAGTTGACTGGCTATATAATTACACACATATATGGCCAATAAGTTGTTTGTTTATAGTTCTTCTGCAGTTTTTTTTGAATAGACAGTTTTTTACGGAAGTTTTTTATCTGTTTTTTTTCCAACATATTTTCTTTTGATTTTTCTTTTATGGCTTTTGTCTGTTTCGGTTTCGTAGGAAAATGAAGACGGTGTTTTTCATATGTAGGTATATTTTGTTTTTTAAATAAACTACAATACACATGTGTAGTAAGTAGTTTTGCTTGCTGGTGGCGGAAATGAAGTGTAATAATAACTATTTTTATGCATACATCATAAAGCGTTATTAATATGCATGTGTTGATCGCATAATAAACCTTAATTTGGTTGGTTGGTATGAAAAGCAAAATGAAACAAAAAAAAAAAAAAAAAAAAAATAATTCTCTTAATAAAATTTAAAACTGCTTTTGGTAAATGCACGTAAATGTGTGTGAGTGTTTTTTGTGTGTTTTTGGATTTCATAGTAATGATCCATTAAATTAATTCATAATTTTAGTATTAAATAAAAAGATTCTTTTCGATAAGCTTGTTATATTAAATGAACTTCCTTTCATGTTATTTGAACATAACATGCAGGTGGGTTAAAAAGATTTTTGGGAATTTTTTTTTTTAATTAGGTTAATATAAAACAATAATTATTAAATTTTTGTTGATAATTAAACAAAGGTTGTTTAAATTAAAGAGTTTATAATGAAGATGTTGTCATAATTGTTTAAACAGTTGTGATTATTAGGTAGCTTACTATTGTCTTTACCTTTACTTACATATTTTGTAAGAAAACAACTTAAACTCAAAATATCATTGAAAAAAATATTTGTTTTTTAAAAAGAGCACCACTTCAGTTTCCCAAATAAAAAACAATCTTCAAATAAACATAAAGCCCTTTTAAAATTCCAAGTATTTCTTTATTATTTGTTATTTTAAATAATCTCATAAAATTCAATTAAAAACCAAAATAAACCACAACTAAACTAAACTAAACAACTCAATATAAAAAACTTCCACCAAAAAAAAGAGAAGCAAAACTACAGATGAAACACTTCAAACACTATCATCATCATCATCACCATTATCGAAACACTACTCCAACGCTAACGGCTTTTAAGAGGTACATAGGATAGCACAGCCCCAAGATAAATAATAATAATACTTTTGCATACTTCAATTGTACATTGGAATATGTGTGAAGTTTGTAGGTTTACAAGTGTTTATTGTATTCATGTATATGGTGGAATGCTATCACCGATAAGCCCCAAAATGAAAACATCAACACTACTCTGCACTATTAATTTCAGAAAATGAAATTCACAAAATTTATATTAAATTTAAACAGCAAAGAGAAACAGATTTTAAAAGTATGAATTAAACTAACGGTCTCTGCACTACAGCATCTAAAGTCGAGATAATTTAGAGACTATAGTCTAGGGACTATGTTTGCTATAGTCTAGTTACTATGGCAGCTAAATTCTAAAAATAGTGCAGAAACTATAGTTAATAAAGTTTAAGGTATATGGTAGCTATAGTCTATAGACTATATAGACTATAGTCGCTACATACTATAATCGCTGTAGTATATAGTCGCAATTGTCCAAAGACCAGAGTAGCTAGGGCCTACAGACTATAGTCGCTATAGACTACAGAATATAGTAGTTATAAACTACAGACTACAGTGGCTATAAACTACAGACTATAGTCGTTATAAACAACAGACTATAGTCGCTATAAAATACAGACTATAGTCGTTATAAACAACAGACTTTAGTCGCTATAAACTACAGACTATAGTCGCTATAGCATACATACAATAGTCGCTATTGTCTAAACGTTATAGACGCTATAGTCTAAAGACTACAGTCGCTATAGTCTAGCAATTGTAAAAGACTAAAGGCGCTATTGTCTAAACACCATAGGCGCTAGAGACCAGAGTCGCTAGAGCCTACAGACTATAGTCACTATAGACTATAGAATATAGTAGCTATAAACTACAGACTACAGTCGCTATAAACAACAGACTATAGTCACTATAAACAACAGACTATAGTCGCTATAGCATACAGACAATATTCGCTATTGTCTAAAGATTATAGGCGCTATTGTCTAGAGACTATAGTCGCTATTGTCTAGAGACTATATCCGCTATAGACTAGTGATTATGGCCGCTATAGTCTAGATACTATAGTCACTACAGTCTAGGAACTATAGTCTACAGACTACAGTCATTATAGTCGCTATAGTCTAGAGACCATAGCCTTATAATCTACAGACTATAGTCGCGATAGTCTAAAGACTATAGGCCCCATAGTCTAAGTACTATACTTAATATAGAGACTATTGTTTCGAGACTAATTCCA